AGTCTGAGACTAGAGAATTGTAGACAATGTCCACCAGTTAGAGGCCACAGGACAGAGGGACGAGGCTGGATGGTGACTGCAGGACCTCGGTCATCTGCCCCCTGAGCCTCAGCCGCTCTGCAGTAAAGTGGGAAGGACAGGAGTCCCCAGCTCAGGGCTGTGGGAGCGTGCCATGAGCACAGCAAAAGCCGTGTGCAGGGGACCTGTAACCGTGGATGCAGGAGTAACCATCATGTGGGCCTGTGGCCAGCCCGGCTGACCTTGGACTGAGTCGGGCTTACAGCACGGCTCTGGGATGTGCCGGGCTTGGTCCTAATCAATTAATAAGCAAAGTATTAACTGAAGGGGAGGGGGCGAGGTTTGAAATGGCCCCTGGGAATCAATGGTGGTTCTTCCTCAGGGACATCTGATGGTTTCTCACCTTCACTGATGGTATCACTTCTGTCATGGGCAGCATGGAGCCCTGCGGGCATTAGAGCAGAGGACCTTGACCCTCTCTGGCATGCAGTTGGGCCCCTGGCTCTGTGCAGAACACCTGTGAAGTCCTTGTCTTTTGGGTCCCTGCCCCCAGAGAATTCTGATCTCATTTCTTATCTCTGCCATCTTCCTGGCTCACTCTGTTCCAGCCACACTGGCCTCTGCTGTTCCTTACACAGGCCAAGCATGGCCATGCCTCAGGACCCTTGCACTTGCTGTTTCTCTGCCTGGACCTCTCCATTCCTGGGCTGCTTCACTTCACTCAGGTCTCTGCCCAGGTGTCACCTCCCTCGAGAGGCCTTCCCTGACTGTTGCATCTAAAATAGCACGTCTGCTTCTGCTGCTTCCCTTTGCGGCTCCAGGACCACAGGGCACAGGTTTTTGTGCCCACTCTGCCCCCATCGCCTGAAACTGTGCCTGGTACAGAGTAGGGGCTCACTAAATATGTGCTGAATAAATGAATGAGTCGACCTACACAGAAAGAACTTGTATCCATTTCCTGATGAGCATTTTCCTGTCCGTCACGGTCACCCTGGGGACAGTGACGCCGTCAGCTTGGTTATGATGACAACGAGGCTGCTGGATACACGGCACGGTGCAGTGTGCACTGTCACCATCGCAGGACCCTGTCCAGCACCGTGACAAGCACAGCGCACAAACGGCATCTTGTGGGCTAGAGCCTTTGGGCGGTCATACCTGAATGAACGGGAAGAGGAGCCCCACGACGAAGTTGGAGAGCCAGTTGACGGTGCCCGCAATGATGAAGGCCGCCGGCCGCTGCGGCTGCTGGAAGAACTCGCCGGTCAAGATGAACGGGATGCCCCCTGCGGTGGCAGAGCGAGGGCACAGGGTTAATCACACCGACAAGGTCTAAGGTTGTGCGGCCAGCACCCATCCCTGTATGGCAGGAGCCAGCTCTGCCTGGGTGACGGGCAGCTTCGGGAATGCGTGCCGGAGTCAGCCCGGAGCTCCTCGGAGTACACAAACTGCCTCTCTGACCCGGCACATCCCAACGAGAGTGGACCGACCCTCCTAGCTCTCCAAACAACCTCTGAATCAAGCCATAATCCACCACTGAATGAGTACAATAGGTACCAATTTGATTCACAAGGCAAGTGACACTCACTGGTATATTGTGTCAGGCAGGCATTGGCTCCCATATTGCTTGGGAGAGAAACCTGAAGCTCAGAGGTTACCTGACTTACTCAAGGTCACCAGCTCCTGAACAGCAGAGCCAGAACTCAGGCTTGGGACTCACCCTCCACAGGCCAGCACTTCCCCGCTGCGAATCCTTGCCTGATGGGATGGAAGCCCTCACTCAACTGGCGAGCCATTCGTCTTCCTGATCTCCCCATGACTGGATGTCTGGTGGGTCCCAATCCCAAGTCACCCTGGCAGCAGAATGTGACTCACTGGTATTAAGGGAGGACAGTTCTTTAACTTGAGGACTATAATGTGCAATTGCGGGGTGTTTGTCACCCCTCACCTCCTGGATGCCCAGAGCTCCCCAAAGGGCTTCCACCCATTTCCAAATGTCCTTGGGGTGTCATGCATAGCTGAGCATCTCCAAAATCTGCACCCTACTCTTCCTGAACTCGGAGAGATCTGGGATTGAGCCTTGTGCCCAGACCCACGACCTGGGGCTCAGCATGGCCACTGGGGTCCTGTTTGCACCACCCCCAAATGCAGTCCCCTCTCTGCCAATCAGAGCTACATGCTGGTGGTGTACAGACAAGGGTAGCACCAGGGGACTGCCCGAGGGACCTTTGCCAGACTCTAGGAAGACACTCAAGGGCTCCATGACTGTTGACTGTGCGGGAGCTGGTCCTACAGTGGACCATGTCCTGCTCCCTTGGGAGTCCCTCATCTGGAAGGGGGGCAAGATGACTTGTTTATCAAAAAGGAAGTGAATGAATGAATAAGTAATTACGACATGCGCTAAGCATGGAGGGAACTCACTCAGCAAATGGAGAGAGCCTGTATTCATAGTGGTCAAGGAGGGCTCTCTGGGAGATGATGGCTGAGATGTGACTTGAAGAAGGAGGTAACAGCTTGCTAAGATTTGGGGAAGACTGCCAGGCAGAGATGGGAGGACAGAGACTCCGGAGGGTAGCAGGGATTGGGTTAAGGTCTAGAGGAGAGGCCATTCTATTGAGGGAGGGGACCGAAGAATGGCATTAAGCAGGGAAAGGCAAGCAGAGCCAATTAAGCAGCCTCTTGTAGATCAAGGAGAGGGTCTGCTCTTGAAGAAAACCAGTGCGGGGCTTTGAGTAGGGGCTGATGTGTCCACCTGCATTTCGTAGAGATTATAGCTGTTTAGAGAGGGGACTGGGAGTGGAGTAGTGGTAGGAGGCTGCTGGGCAGTGCAGAAGGGAGGCCATGGTTATCTAGAGGGCTTGCATGGTGCCAGTGGGGAGGCAGATGGAAGGAAGTGGCAGAATTCAGAGACTCCACCCCATGGAGGCAAAACTTTCAGTGTGAGTATTACAAACAACCATATACTGATCATCAAGTTCAACCAAGAAACCCAAGGTCACAGAGCCAGGACATAAGCCTGTCTCTCCACAGTGTTCACTGTTATCACCCCCTATTCTGCCAGCAAACCTTGGACTTCAGCACATCAAAGTAATTCAGAAAGGACCAGCCCCACATCTCCCTCATTAGACTATGAGCCCTTAAGGGCAGACAGTATCCCCATTTGCCTGGCATCTCGGGCAGAGAGTAGATGTGTGATCAATATTTACTTACTTGTGTCAGAAACTCAAATTTGGTTTTGAAAAGATTTGATATATTGTTTACTCCAGAGAAAGTAGACTTTCCATATCTTAAAGGTAGCTATCAAAATGTGTGAGAACAATGGTCACACATTGAAATGTGCTAAAACCAACCTTTAGGGCTTAGCAAGCAGAATATTGCCTCCTTGAAAGTCTGCATCACACACCTAGTTGTTGCTGTGGCTAATGACACTGTGGGCCTTGCAGCATATCCTTGGGGGTCAGTTCACAGCTATTATGAAGTCTGAACAGGGTTGAGGGCTGGCATTTCACCTACCCTGACTTTCCTGGGTGTGTTCTGGAAGCACCTGTGGATAGCTCGATTAACATTCCTGATGCTGGTACATCAGCTTACAGAGAGCAGGGAATGTTGAAACACCTGCCTAGCCGTGTGTCACTTTTTCTCTTCAGGGCTTGGCCACACAACTTGTTGATTGATGATGGCCCTCACTCCTCACACAGGACCTAGGATACATATACTAGGTGCTAGGTAAAGGTCTGTGGGATCCACGAGGAATGATGCAGACACTGTGAAGTTCACAGCACATCTACATTGGGTCTCTTCTCTCCTCCCTTCAGGCTACCTCTGAGGGCAAATATAAGAAACCATAAGAATTTTGTACAGCCTGTTTTGCTGATTGGTTTTCATTTCCATGATCTCCCTTGAATCTACCAACCAGGTGGTGAAGCACAGGGGGCTAGGGCTTGGCCTCTGGTGTCAGTAAGAACAGGTTTAAATGCAACTCTAACAAATCTCTCTAGAATTAAGGCCTTTCTCACGTGCACAGTGATGGCAGTAGGAACTTACCGCAGGGGTATTTGTGAGGATTAAATAAACTACTATGTGTAAGCACTTAGTATTAAGTATGGCACATGAGAGGCATTCAATATATGTTGCTTCTATAATAATAATTTAAAACTTTCCTGCATAGTTTCCCTCCATTTTATAATGAGTTAGCTGAAGCTCGGAAAAGGGGAGTAACATGGCCAAGAACTCTTAGCTAAGAGTGATGAAGATGGTGATAGTGATGATGGTGGTGGCGGTGGTGGTGATGATGGTGGTAGTGATGATGATGATGATGGTGGTGGTAATGATGATGGTGGTGGTGGGGATGATGGTGGCGATGTTAGTGATGATGTTGATGGTGATGGTGATGATGATGGCGATGATGATGATGATGATGGTGGTGGTGGTGGGGATGATGGTGGTGATGACAGTGATGGTGATGCTGTTACTGCTGATGACGATGATGATGATGATGATGATGATGAAGATGATGATGACAAAATGAAGATGTTGGTGGTGATAATTATAGACAGGACAATGGTGCTGCTGCAGCTGCTGATGGTGGTGACAGTAAGTGGCACATACTGTAAAAAGCACTTGTCGTACATTATTTCATTTAATTACCACTACTATGTGGTAGTTGCTACTACTATTTTTCCCATTTAATGTATAAAGAAACAGAGGCATAAGAAACTTAACTGATTTCCTCAAATCATACCACCAGTGGGACTCGAATTCAAGGCTGGCAACTGCCAGTCTGAGTCTTAATGACTCCACTGTGATGCAAGTAAGACTAAAGATGCTTACAATTTTTAAAATGTGGGAAAGGAACTTAATAGTATTCAGGGTTTTATCTAAGTGCCCTACCAAATTCTGGAATTTATTTTTCTCTTTTGTCTGCAGGCATTGTTAGCCTGCTTTCCTAAGATCCTCTCTCTCACTGTTTTATCTTTAAATCCACAGTAAAATGAGAAAGAATGGGGTTTGACGTGGCAACAGAATGGATTTCTGGTAGGTCCTTTATTTTTATGTTGTTTTTCAAAATGAAAATAGTGTTATTCTATTTTTCTGATTACCATGAGTAATATGTAACCATTTTTTAAAAAATATTTTTATTTATTTCTAGGAGAGAGAGAGACAGCGTGAGCAGGGGAGGGTCAGAGAGAGAGGGAGACTCAGACTCTGAAATAGGCTCCAGGCTCCGAGCTGGCAGTCAGCACAGAGCCTGACGCGGGGCTCGAACCCACGAACCGCAAGATCATGACCCAAGCGAAAGTCGGACGCTTAACCGACTAAGCCACCCAGGCGCCCCATTATGTAACCATTTTTAACAGTTAAAGAAAGCATACAATGTAGAAAAGCATGAAAGGAAACCAAAGTCATCCCTAAACCTTCCACCCAGAGATGACCTCCACTTGTGTTTTGGTACTTGGCACTGACATTGACTGTTGCTATAGAGGAGCCTAGAGCTAGTCTAATATTTCCCCCTTTAGGCAATTGGCTTTTGCCTGGAGAAATCTTTCCTTATGCTTGAAGTTATTAACTGTCCACTAACTGTGATGTGTCTGGGGTTGGTCTCCCCATAACAGTTTTTGTTAGATCACAGTGACTCCCTCTCGACTACAGATCACTCTTTATTTATTATTAATCTTCCTATATTAGATTTGAAAGCCTCTTCTGTTCTATCTGTTGGACTCTCTAGTCCAGAGACAGTGATTATCCATATGTCGGATTAATCTTTTCTCTCTTCCATGTCTGTCATCTCCTGAATGAGTTTATTGTCTTGTGTCTGCACAGACAGATGCTTGGAGCAATCTCTCCCTTCTTTCTCTTCTCCATCTCTTCTCTTTTCTTCCTTCTTCTCATCCCATTTCGGTGCATTCCCTGGGCCACTGCTCTTTGTCTTTCTATAGTACAGTGTGTTGTTCATTCCGATTGCCATCGGCCCCGATGTGGTGATTCATCCTCAACACCTTTTCTTATCTTCTTCCATGATGTCTTGTCTTTCAAATCACAGTTTAGGGTGTGAGTACTGTCTTTTGGTAGTTTTTCCATAAATGGAGGCCAACATTGGGGGTGAGGAGCAGAGACAAGTTGGCGGGAGTTGCTGTCAGCCCTTTCTGGAAGAACTGGGGTCTGCTCTGGTCTCTGAGATTTTAAGTGATATGCACCAGAACCCATTCTGGGAGGTCAGGGGAATGTCCAGCTTCTGTGGGATTCAACTGGTCTCCTCAAATTAGGATACAGTCTTGGAAAATGGGAAGCCTTTTGGGGAGGACTGTATCTTCCCCAGCATGCTGACTCACCTCCTCACTCATCCCCCACCAATCAGGGATGTCAGTGAGGGTTCTTAGAGTGTTTTGAATCTCCTTCCCTGGTCAGTGCTGTTTCGGAAGGTGGAGACAGAATGTCCTATGCTAGAATATCCTTCCTCTGGCTGCCAATTTTCAAAGCCATGGTATGTTTCCTTCTTGGCTTGCTGCTGTCCATATATTTTTTTTCCTAGATCACAGTTTGCTTGCTTGTTTTTTTTTTTTTTATTTTTTTTATTTTTTTAAAGCTCACTTTCTTAGGTATTGGTAGGAGGAAGATTCTGTCATAAGGCTATACATGACCATATTTACCTAAAATCCCTTATTGACTTGTTTTCTAAAGGAAAGGTATTGCTGTTTCTTGTGGTAGGTATATAGTTGCCACTCATTTTAAAATAATGTGCTTCAGAATTAAAGGTCAGTTGGAAACACTCCCTTCTAGTACAGGATTTTGACAAAGGGATGCCTTCTTCCAAATTCTCTGCTTGGGGCCCTTTGTTTTGTGGATCTTGTTGTTTACAAAAAAATTTTGGATGCCAATCTCACTGGATCTTTCTTCACAAACAGACTATGAGTTACGAATTATCACTGCAGATTAGGAAACTGAGGCTCTCGAAGATGAAGGGCTCATGTTACTGGTCCCACTTGTCAATGAAAGATGTGGAGACTCCTTTTAGGTAACAGGCTTGAGCAATGGAAACATGAGCAAGACAATAGGGCTCCCAGTGACCCGTGGGCAGAATGCAAACAGGTGCACTAAGCGACCCACCTTGAACCAGCCATAAGCTCCAACTGTGCATGGGGCACAATCACCAAAAAAGGAAAATTCCACATGTTCTCATACCTCTTCACTCCCTCCATCATGATAGCCCCTCACCACCCCCCGTGCCAGACAGTCTCTCCTTTGCTGTCCTGCTTGCTGCTCCCTTGCAGTGGCTGCATTCAGTAAATGTCTTTCTCCTTTGCTCTGCTTTGGGTGAATTCTATCACTACCCCCGCCCCCCACTGAGGGCTTCCACCCAATTGAGTCACCCCACAAAAGAGGACGCAAAGTTGGATCTTCAAACTCAAAATCCTGCCTTAGTTTGACTGCACCTCTCAGCCCAAAAGGACAGAAAGATGACAGTGGATTCATGCAGCTGTTTCCACTCTGTACCCAGCGTGCCTCGCACAGAGTTCTCTTCAAATCAAGGAGCCACACCTACTGCCACATCCTACGGTGCTGCTTAGACTTCGCAAATTGTGATTATGTCTCTTGGCCTTGTTATCTTATTTGGTTCTTACTTATTATTTTATCTGGCTATGTTATTCTGGATTCCCCCAGAAACAGACCCTGACGTGGGTCTTGTGTGTGAGTTGACGTAGGAAATGCTGGTAAGGGTGCGGGTAACTGAAGGAAAGGTGTAGACTTATCAGCAAGTTACCTCTGTGGGCCAGCAGAACTTAATCCAGTTGGGGCCTCTTGGGAAACTGTGTGGAAAACACATCTCAGGATGAAGCTAGCAATAGTCACTCCCTCTTGGCATTGTTTTGAGGCCCAAATGGACCGTGCTTAGCAATGTGTGCTTGCGGCGCTCCAGCAGAAAGCTCCATCTTCCCTGCACACACCCGTTGGGCCCTTCCCCCTCCTCTTCTGTTTTCTAGCTCTTGCCAGCTACCTGGGTAAAATGTCAAATTTTATCTCATTTTTGTATAAAAGAAATAAAGGGCTACGGTCCAAACTTTTCTATAATTCATATGATTACCTTTGAATGGAGCCACTATCATCAACTTGAAAAGCCCTTTAATAAGGGCTCTTAAATCTCCTTAATAATCTCCACAGGGGTGCCCCTAGGCTACTTAATCCTTTAAAGTATTTTCCCCTTAAGCACCAGTTTTAAAAATACCTTTAACATTTTTTGAATTTAAGGGGTGCCTGAGAGGCTCAGTCGGTTAAGCATCCAACTTTGGTTCAGGTCATGATCTCATGATCTGTGAGTTCAAGCCCTGCAGTGGGCTCCCTTCAGTCAGCGTAGAGCCTGCTTCAGATCCTCTGACCCCCACCCCCCCGCCACCTGCCCTGTCTGCCCCTCCCCCGCTTGTGCGCTCTATCTCTCTGAAAATAAATAAACAAACTTAAATGGAAATTTAATGTAATTTTGAAAATTCTTCACGGATATTTTGCTGTGCTTATTTCACTAGACTTATTCTTTTCTGTTGGCTCATCCATTTTTATCCAACATTTATGCTCTAAGTCCTGTGCTGGACATTTTTAGACTCTACTACTCTCTGTGACTAGTCCACATAGTCCACCTTAGGGGAGGGGTAGTCAAATGCCCATTTGACAGATGAGGAAATTGAGGCGCAGAGCAGCTGAATGCCACAGGAAGTCACCAAGAGCTTCTGATTCGGATAAAAGACCCTCCCACTGCCCATTCTCTAGGAGACTCTGGAGAAAGGGTGGATGCACTATTTCCCAAACAGCTTTGTTTTGTGACAATGGTCAGGAGCACATCAGCACACCTGCGGCTTGCGTGAAGCTGGCTCCAGCACGGCTTGGTGCAAGAAGGGGGCTGCTCTGGAGGGGGGTGGCTGTCGGCTCGGGAAGCCCCTCACCTTGGAGGATGCCTGTGACGGCCCCTCGAAACAATGTGACACTTAAAATATAGCTCTGGAGATGAACTGTACACAAAACTATATGGTGATTAATAAATGATTAATACAGCTCTAGAAAACACACTCTGTAATGTCTGTCTGGGAAGCGGCTAATCTATGACACGGGGGCCCAGCAGCTGGGAACGCCGCCCGCTCAGGGTGCAGCGCCCCGCGCCCCTTTTCTCCCCTTCCTCAGATACCACCTGATCAGAGGAGACTCACTGATTGTGCCTGATCAACCGTAACGCACCTGCCTAAGCACGTTCTGTGTGTCTCATGAGATCACTCGCTGAACGCTGGAACAATCTGAAAGTCTTCTACTGACTGACGATGGCTTCTCCAGTAAATACGGGAATGCGGAGTTGTTGGGGGCGGCAGTGTCTCTGAGCTGTGGTCCCCTGCTCCTTTTCTCTTGCAGCTGACTTATTTGCGCCTCATTCTTCACCCGTGTGCAGTCACGGAAGGCGGCAAGTGGCGCCTGAACAGGGACCTGAAGTGAGAACTGGAGAAGCAGCCCCAGTGTGGTTTTCTGCACGGCAGCGTCTTTCTCCCGCTGGTGAGTTGTGGGTACTTATCGCAGGGCATGGGTAACACTGAGAGACCAGACTAGTACTGCCCTTACATATTTATTAAGACAGCTCCTGAAGGAGGGGGGAGCAAAGGTCAGGGAGGGCGAACTTTTGGAGCTTTTATGGGTCATTAAAGAACACTGCTCCTGGTTCCCTACATTAGGGACTGTAGATCTACAGACCTGGGAAAAGGTAGGACATGAGCTTAAGACGTTGCATGCAAAAGGAAGACAGATTCCAATTACAATATGTTCTACTTGGTTGCTTACTCACTCCATTCTGGAGCCTTGCAGACCCCTGAGTCTGATAGCAATGAGGAATCTGATACCAGCATAGGAAAGGACGGCCCAGAAGAGGCAGTCCCAGAAGGCACTGATATAAATAACCTTACACTAAATGAAACTCAAGATGAGAAATTTCCTCCCCCTCCACTGTTACAGGCAGACACAATGGAAACATTTTTACTGTGCCAAAGCCATCAGCTCTGTCTTTTTATGAGAAACGGAGGGTGCCCATCCTATCTCCCATACAAAAGGGACTCTTAGAGACACAACGAAATGGGGATTTAGATGCCTTGCATTTTAGGTTTCCAGTCACCATTCGAGAGCATATTGCTCCTGGTCAGGATGCTAATCACCCTGATGGTATATTGGAGGCTATTCATGAGCCTTTCCCATTTAAAATATTAAAAGAACTTAAACAGGCAGTACAAAATTATGGTGCTAACTCACCGTTCACTCATGGCATTATTCAAGGCATGGCGGAAGGCAATCGTCTTATATCTACTGATTGGTCTTTGTTGGCAAGAACGGTCTTGTCACCGAGTGAATTTTTACAATTTCGAACCTGGTGGCAGGACCATGCTGAAACAGCTGCAGCCCATAACAGGGCTAATAAGATCCCCATATCCTTAGGGGTTTGGTGCCTGGGCTAGAGTGCAAGATCAAATACAAATGGATGACCAAGCAGTTGAACAATTGAGATGATTTTGTCTACGTGCTTGGGAAAAAATAGAATCTAAAAACTCAGCCAATGCCACCTTTCATAGAATAATCCAAGGCGCCAAAGAGCCTCATACCAATTTTATTGCTAGACTACAGGAGGCTATCAAACGGCAGATTAATAATGTTGAGGCAGCAGATACCATCTTACAACTGCTAGCATACGAAAATGCCAATGCTGATTCTAAACAGGGGATTGCGCCACTTAAAAGGCAAAGGCCCTTAACTGATTATATCAAATTATGTCAAGGGATTGGAACAGAAACCTACAAGGCAGACTTATTGGCACAAACCATGGCGGCTTTCATTCAATAATACAAAATTCAAAGGACAATGTTTTAATTGTGGGCGATCAGGCCATACCAAAGCTCAGTGTAAACAAAAAGGAAAATTTCCCTCAAAAACTTATAAAAATAATGCATCTGGCACATGTTCTGGATGCCACAAAGGAAATCATTGGGCCAATCAATGTCATTCTAAATTTCATAAAAATGGATCTCTCCTATCAGGAAACTTGCCTCGGGGCAAGCCCTCAGCCCTGAAAGAAAAGAAGGCTCCCTCTTCTCCAATCCCAACATTTCCAGTCGCCTCACCAGTTTAGATTTACTACATGCAACCCCAGGAAGTGCTGGTTTAGATAGTGCCATTCCTGGGGACTTCATATTGTTACCTGCTACAGAGCCCACGAAAATTCCTACCAATCTTTTTGGGCTGCTGCCAGAAGGGACTAGTGGGCTTCTCTTAGGGAGGTCTAGTCTTACTTCTAAGGGAGTTCTGGTTCATACCATGGTTATTGATTCAGATTATGACGGAGAGATATTGGTCCTAATGTCTATCTCGCTCCCTTACCATTTTAAAAAAGATGATACTGCCCAATTACTACTTCTCCCCTACTTTGAAGGTCAATATTTGAATAAGCAAAGAAATGCTGGAGGATTTGGAATCACAGAGAAGGCGGGCACATACTTAATTGAAAAATCATACCAAGACAAACCCATTTGTTACGTTAAAATAAGATAACAGATGTCTCCATTATTAGTTCTCAACACTGGCCTAAAAACTGGCCTTATGGCCCGGCCTCTATCACTATTACTGGATTAGGTCAGGCGACTAATGTGCATCAAAGCCTAAATAATCTTCCATGTGAAGGGCCTGAAGGCCAAAGAGGATATATACAACCTTATATCATTGACTTGCCCATTAATTTATGGGGTTAAGATTTAGTAAGTCATTGGAGAGCTTCATTAGTCATATCATCTCCAAGATGTACTTCTCAGCATTTTTGCCAAGGCCACTGCTCCGGAGCCCATTCGACTTAACTTGAAGGATGACAAGCCTATCTGGGTGGAGCAGTGGCCCTGAACACAAGAAAAACTAAGAGCCTCACAAACCTTAATAGAGGAACAGATACAAAAAGGACATATCAAAGGCTCCCATAGTCCTTGGAATTCACCTATTTTTGTGATTAAGAAAAAGTCAGGAAAATGGCGATTGCGAGCAGACCTGCGTATGGTTAATTCTACTATTTTGCCATGTGCACATTACAACCCAGGTTGCCCTTTCCAAATATGGCTCCCCGAGAATGGCCTGTGATTATTATAGATTTACAAAATTGTTTTACTGTTCCTTTAGCCAAAGAAGATTTTCCTCGTTTTGCATTCACTGGCCCTAGCATCAATTTAAAGGACCCTTCTAAACGCTATCAATGGAAGGTTTTGCCTCAAGGAATTGTTAAATAGCCCCACCATATGCCAGGAATATGTTGCTAAGGGAATTCAACCAGTCAGAGAAAAATATCCACAAATTTACCTAATTTACTACACGGACAACATTTTATGTTCAGCATCTGATCCTGAGCAATTACAAAAGGCCTATACCATGCTTAAGTCACAGTTTGATAAATATAACTAAATTATCTCCCCCCCAAAAATACAAACATCTCCATTCTTGTATCTCGGATATATAATGGATAGAATTCATATTAGGCCTCAGAAGATTCAAATATGCAAAGATAATATTAAAACTTTAAATGACCTTAAAATACTGTTAGGAGATATTAATTGGATTAGACCAAAAATTGGAATCCCTACTTATGCACTGCAACAGTTGTTTGTGACCTTAAAAGGGGGATCCCAATCTCAAGAGTCCTCAGACTCTTTCTAAGGAAGCTTTGAAGGAGTTACAATTTGTTGAACATCAGATCCGATCCGTGCAAACTGACAGAATTTTGCCTGACGTTTTAATGACTCTCCTTATTTTCCACACCTCTCACACTCTTACTGGATTCCTTATACAAAAAGAACTAATAGTAGAATGGCTATTTTTACCAAATAATACGGTCAAAACCCTAACCACCTATCTGGACCAAATGGGACACTTAATTTATGTCGGAAGAAAAAGAACCCGACAAATTCAAGGCTTTGATCCTAAAAGTATAGTCTTACCTTTAAATAAAATGCAATAGAAAATGTCTTCCAAAACAATATAAATTGGAAAATTGCTTTAAATGGTTTTATAGGATCTACATCTTCACATTATCCCTCCTTGCTTATTATCTCTTTCCTATATCTTTCCTTAAACAGACGACCTTTATCTTGCCAAAATTACTGCTAATGTTCCTCTTCTTGATGCTCCTATTTTTCTGATGGGTCAATAAAAGGTAAGGCATGCTATCATTGACCTACACCAAAAATTATACCCACTAAAGCATTATCAGCACAAAAATCTGAGTTAATGGCTGTTATAACTCTCAGAATGTTTCTTCAGCTTTTAACTTACTCTCTGACTCAATATACACCATCTATATTTTAAATCCTATTAAAACTGCTACCATTTCTACCTCTGATAATTCTTTACAAACCCTGTTTCAAAAACTTCAACTGCTTATTTGTTTTCGGTCCTCTCCCTTCTTTTTTCCCCCCCTCTTTTATATTTATGTACTTATTTATTTTACTTTTAAAACATATTTTTTAAAACTTTTTAAATAGTTTATTGTCAAGTTGGTTCCCAGTGCTCATCCCCACAAGTGCCCTCCTCCATGCCCATCACCCTCCTTCCCCTGTCCCCCACCCCCATCAGCCCTCAGTTTGCTCTCAGCATTCAAGAGCCTCTCATGGTTTGCCTCCCTCCCTCTCCCCAACTATATTTCCCCACGGTCCTCCGGTAAGTTCCTCCTAATCCTCCTATATGTGCAAACATATGGTATCTGTCCTTCTCTGCCTGATGTATTTCCCTCAATATAACACCCTCAAGTTCTATCCATGTTGCTACAAATGACCAGATTTCATTCCTTCTCATTGCCATGTAGTATTCCATTGTATAGAGAAACCACATCTTCTCGATCCATTTGTCAGCTATGCCACCCATATTCGTAGTCATTCAGGCCTCCCAGGACCATTGTCTGAAGGCAATGCAATTGCTGACTCGCTCATTTTTTTCTATATTTCAAAAGGCTTCTGATTTCTGTTCATTAACTCATGTCAATAAAATAGGATTGTGACATCACTTTCCTATCACCAATGAATAAGCTAATGAAATTTTACAATCATGTCCATCATGTGCTACAATCAACACTCCTCCTCCACCCACCAGGGTGAACCCGAGGGGGTTAGCTCCCTATGAATTATGGCAAATGGATGTCACTCATGTCCCTTCCTTTGGATGACAGTCATTTGTTCATGTTACAATTGATACCTATTCCAGATTCATTTGGGCCACATCTTAAAAAGGCAAAATGGCTACACATGTTATCAGACATCTCCATGCTGCAGTAGCAGTAATGGGAAATGCCGTTAGCCATCAAAACAGATAACGCTCCAGCTTACACATCTACAAAATTACAATCCTTTTTACAATTACAGCATGTGAAGCATATAACAGGAATCCCTTACAATCTTCAAGGACAAGAAATTGTTGAAAGAGCAAATCAAATTCTAAAATGGAAAGGCGGAATACAGAGTCCTCTTCAAGAAATATTATCACAAGCTTTGTTCCCTCTAAATTTTTTTGAATCGTGATGATAAAGATACTGTGGCAATAGAGCGGTATTTTGTCCTTAAAGAACAAAATAAAACTTATCCACCCATTTGGTGGAAAGATATTACTTCTAATCAATGGTTACTGGGTAATCTACTAACATGGGGAAAAGGTTATGCCTGTGTCCTACCTAATGGGGCTGTCAAGCCCATCTGGGTTCCTTCCCATTTTATGAAGATTTGACATGAGCGAAAGGAAGAGGTTTGGGTTTGAGCCAGTCCCTCTGATCATCAGCTTCGAGGGTCTTTCCATAAAGAACACCCAGATCATGATTCCGGGAAGAGATCGAATGAAAATTCCAACTTGGGGACAGATAGAGAAGCTCACCAAGGAGGCAGAAGAGATTTTAGAGAATGAGCAACACCCCTTTACTCCCAACAACATGGCTCTCACTATGACGGCCCTCCTCATGGAGGCAGTAAGTTTCCCTAGCTGTCAGGCTCAAACGGATAATTTCACTTACTGGGCCTACATACCCAATCCACCCTTACTACACCCAATTGAATAGGGGGATGATATAGTTCCCATTTACTTTAATGCTTCAAGATGTGTACCTGGAGTGCTTGATCCCTGATTACCTTTAATACCTCAGGAAGAAGGCTTACTTGTCAACTTAATGTTGGGATATCAATCTAGACCAATATGCATTGGCCATCACTTCAGTTGTCTTATACCAGCAGATCAAAGATGGCTGGTGGCTTCTCCTAGTAATAATAGCTCTAGTAAACCTTTATTCCACCGTATATTAACTAAAAGCTTTCAATCAAAGGAGAAAAAGGATATCGATTTTAGCATGGCAGCCTCCTGTTCCAAAATGCAAAATGGCACAGACATGGTCTGATGACAGAATATGCCCATTATGGGAGGATTGTAGAGCCTCCTTTCCCAGTGTTCTGATTAATGATTCCTATGGGAGTGTATGGGATTGCCCCCCTAAGAGGATGGCAGTTCCCAATTGCACTGGGAGAGCTTGCTCCTCACATCAGATTCTAAAATGGCATATATTCAGAGATCCAATAATTCCCCAGACCTCCGTATGGAGGAATGGACCCATCCAATGGCACAGACACCTGCCCCATTCACAGAATACCATAAAAAAAAAAAAAAAGAATTTATGGAAAATAACTGGTACCCTAGGTCACGTCACAATATGGAATGGTTCCTATATTCATCAAAATAGATATTATTCTCTACATTTTTCTCTTTCAGAACAAAAAGGGTTAAAGGCGTGTGTTTGTGACCCTTATGTGTTTATAATAGGAAGAATAGCATTTGAACATTCAAAAAGAAAGTTATATTGCCCCCGAAGCCAAATGTTTACTTGTATTGATGGAAATTTAACTCTTGATCATATATTCTTCTTTTAACCCATAGAAGACTGGGAATACGTCTACCTGTAAAATACTCCCACACCTGGGAAAAATCTCCAGACATGCACGTGATTTTAATAGTCATGAAACATGGGCTACAGAGTACAAAAAGATTTGTAGGTTTGCTGATAGCCGCTATCTTGGGTATCATAGCTATCATGACAATTGCTACCACTGCTGGGATAGCCTTGTGGTAGCGTCCCCTCCCTAAGGAAAGAAAAAAAAAAAGAACATCTCAAGGCAACCTTGCTATTCGTGTATGTGACAATATCCCTCACAACCTTGTAACATGAGACCACTTTAATCAGACTGCATGTCTGTATGTTACCATATATGGGAGACAAAGAAGTAAGAAAATATATAAGAAACCACTCGACGTGGTGTCTGGGGCTCAGTTCTTTGGGTACAAACCCAACTGAGAGATGCCGGCTGGAATAAAATTGCTTCCGGGAAAGAAAAGCCTCCGTGTCACGACTCTCTGTGTGAGAATCCTGCTACATTACTTGGGGGTTCGTCCAGGGTTCGGAGATGGTGTGTTACCACCTCCTTTGCCACCGGGGATGCCAACCTCAGGGCGCCGGGAGAGGCGGCTCACCTGGCCCCAGTGGGCCACCTGATCTGCAGGAGACTAGCCCTCCCGGCACGCTGGGGCGAGGACCCCCGTGTGCTAATGGAACCAGGAGCCAGCTCAGGGAGCACCCATCAGACTGGTAAGAACCCGGGTTCGTTTTGGTAGACCTGCCCGTAATAGGCAGAAGGGGGTGCTGATCACTCCTAGAGTCGCACTGGTAATTCCACAAGGGAAGAGGAACGAAGCTGTAACTCTAAGGCGTCGGGCGCTGGGCGCTGGGCGGCAGGTTGGAGTCGCCATGTAACTGACATGTCTCTCATTCATTTTCTGGGTCAATGACTATAATAATTAGAGCCAACTGTCTCTGGTTGTCCTACCTCAGAACAGGGACTTCAGGGAATATTCCCAAGCAGCTGCCGAAACTCCTTTAGTTTAGAGGAAATTCCTTGTCTTCTGCAGACTGACATGGACTGCCTAATTCCACTGGTGGAAAACAAACAAAAGAAACCTGAAGTCTGCTCCTCTGTTGGAACTGATTTAAAACTGAGAATTCTCTTTCTCTGCCTTCTGCTGGCACCTCTCCTATTGTGCCTTCCCTTCGCCCACTCCTTTCCTGCACCACCTGAGGGAGCAGCCTGCATAACTGACTCCTCAGTGCCTCAGGCACCGTCAGCTCCTCCTCCTCCCCTAGATGTGAGGAGGGAAGACCACTGAAGTCCGATTTCTCCACCAACTTTCCAGGTAAAAATTAACCATGGGGAACAAAGTGTCTTACGTGGACTCAAGTAAAACATATTCAGTGTTTATGTTAATTTAAGTTTGCTGGTTTGAGATAGACAATGTTTATCAAAAAAATAAGAAAACAGAAAGAAACGTGTATTCTGCCTAGATCTGCTGAAGGTCAAATAAGCTCATGTTATCTCTGTTCCAATTTGTTAACAAAAGGATGACTTAAAGTGATGGTTAAGGGGCATCTGGGTGGCTCAGTGGGTTAAGCATCCGACTTCGGCTCAGGTCATGATTTCACGGTTCGTGGGTTCGAGCCCCACGTCGGGCTCAGAGCCTGGAGCCTATTTCAGATTCTGTGTTTCTCTCTCTGACCCTCCCCTGCTCACGCTGCCTCTCTCTCTCTCTCTCTCAGCAATAAAAAAATTTTTTTAAAACATTGAAAAAATTAAAAAAAAATAAAGTTATGGTTAATTTGGTCTGTTTGATAGTTTTCATGGGTAATTGTTAAGATAACTTTCAAAGTCCTTGGTAACCTAAAATGTTAAAGTTTTGCTTGCATGAGAAATTGAGATTAAATTCATTGGCTATCTACTGCGATAAGAAGCAAGAGCACTGTTTACTAGATGTAGGTTTGTGCTCTGGACTTGTTGCAAAAAAAAAAAAAGGATATTTGGAACTGTTAAAAAAACGTGCTTTGTGTTTAATGGATTCATAATTTTGCCATCTTAAAAAAATTCTGATACAGAGTTCACATTACTACTTAGTTTCCACTGGAGACTAAGGTTTCTAGCAGTTAAAATTCAGCTAAGTGTACTTAAGACGGTTGGAAATAAGAAAAGTAACTCTGTATGTAAGAAAGTAGGAGGTATGTAAGAAAGATATAAAGAATGGAAATATAGTTTTGTTAAAGGTAAAAAAAAAAGTGATTTTGTCCTAAATGAGACTGGTTATTTGGAGAAAAATGGCTTGGGATAAAATCTAAATGCAAAAAAAAAAAAAAGTTGTAGAACGTTTGTGAAGGATAATCTTTAAAAAGTTTTTTATATATGGTCAGGATGGACTAAGGTTAAAAGAAATAGATTTTAAAAGTACACAGGATTAAGATGAAAATTCCTCCTCCTTTGAACCAAAGGCTGGAAAAATGATGGCAATACCCTTGATGCCAGCCTCCAAAATCCTCCACTTTTATGCTGTTCTTGTTTACTAGAGGAATGGATGCCTCTGCCATATGAGGGGTGGATAATATATAAAGGGCTTTTACTAAGATTCATGGGAGCCATTTTACTAAGCTTAGCCCATTATATGCCAAAAATGGATACCCACATGGCTGAAACATATTTATTGTTGAAAAGGGCAGGGGAAAAGACCATGACGTTGGCCCTTTAACCCCCTCCCTCAATGGCCAGTGATCAATAAGTAAGTTACTGCTGAACCAAAATAAAATCAGAGCATCCTAAGACAATCAAGAAAATCTTGCTTGGTTACAGTCCTATCCCCAAGGTCCTACAGACAGAAAACAGAGGGGTAAAAACAAAACAAACAAAAAACTTTACATTACAAGGTTTAAGACAGATAAAGGGAGATTTAGGTAAATTTTCTTTTCTTTTTTTTTTCAAGAAATAGACTTTAAAAAAAATGTTTTATTTATTTCTGAGAGAGAGAGAGGCAGTGTGAGCAGGGGAGGGTCAGAGAGAGAGGGTGACACAGAATCTGAAGCAGGCTCCAGGCTCTGAGCTGTCAGCATGGAATCAGATGTGGGGCTCGAACCCACGAACCGTGAGATCATGACCTGAGCCGGAGTCGGATGCTTAACCAGCTGAGCCACCCAGGAGTCCAGGTAAATTTTCTAATTGCATAAATATATAAGGTCTTTTCAGACTATTACATATGATTTTGAGTTGATCTGGAAAGATACCATGCTTTTGTTAAATCAGACTCTTAATGACACAGATGTTTTAGAAAAAGTGAAGGAAATCTAAGATTTAGCCTTTAAATGATGCTAAATTAGCCACTATTTTACAAACACCAAATGAGAAGGCCTTCCTGGAGAGGTTGAGGGAGGCTCTCATTAAATATATGGCTATCTCCCTTGACACCCCTGAGGCTGCGATGATTTTAAAAGACAAATCTGTCACTGAATCAGCCCTAGATATTCAGAAAAAAAATGCAAAAATTGGCTGTTGGCCTCGAAGGGACCCTGGAAGAGCTCTTATCAGCTGCCAATTGGGTATCTTACAAACAAAACAGAAAAGGAAGCTTAAAAAAAAAAATCTAAGACCTTAGCTGTGGCCTTACGTACTATGTCAGATGGGATTTCCCGAGCTCCTGACACCAAGCGCCATTTCTATGGCATTCAGAGCCCTAAATGAGAACGTCCTCAGAGAGTACAACCAAAGTGAAAACCCCATAAGCCATGCCCCTGATATGGAAACAATCAGTGGAGATCTGAATGCCCTCGGACCTCTATCTGTGAGGCTCAGATAACCCACGTCCCTGGAAGGGACTAACCAGAGCCTGGGGCTCTTCACGGTGGCTTCCCTAATCCAACGGGTCTATCAGAAACCCAGAACCTCAGGCAACTCTAAATATAGAAGAACTGGTTGATTTCCTTAACACCAGAGCTCCTGTTTGCTGTCCTTCTTTCCACTCCAGGCCAACTATCCAAATGCAGCATGACGATTAGGGGCACCTCTGGAAAACTTCTAACTACATTTTCCTCTCGTCCCCTGGGATGTATATGGGGAAACCTAATTTTTCCTCATTCTTTCCTGATAGTGCCGGAGAGCCTCACTCCCTTGCTAGAAAGGGACATTATACCTAAATTAGAGGCTCTGGTGCTACTAACTCAGGACAGATGAACAATTACATGAGCTTTTAAAAATTACTGGGTATTGTAGGCTATAGGTACCAGGGTTCAGGAAAATAGGTTGCTGCTATCAGTTATTAAAGGAGACTCAATCCCACTTACTCTCCCCTCCCCCAAATAAATAAACAAACAAATAAACTGGGGTCTGACTCCTAAACATTGTCTCCAGCCCTTGGAATGGTTAAAACAGAACAGGGCAATTACTACTACCAAGCTCACAGAGCTAAGACTATTAAAACACAACATCAGACCTTTTATTTAGGGAGGGACAAAACGTATCAAATGACTCAAAGGATGTTTGCTGGAGAAAATTGTCAAGGACAGTTCTGCAAGTGGTATCGGGCTGTGAAGTATGTCTTAAAAACAATCCTTTCAACCACAAACTTGCTCTCCCGGACAATCAAGGAACTGGAGATTATCCAGGAAAAGACTAACAATTAGGTCTCACTCAGTTGCTAAGGTCAAAATAAATAAATAAATAAATAAAAAGCCTGCCAACATCTGTTTGTATGGGTTAATACTTGTACTAATTGGGTAGGGGCCTTCCCCTACAAGACAGAAAAGGCACAAAAAGTAACAAAAATTCTGCTTTATAAAATAATACTCAGGTTTGGTTTACCTAAAAATTACAAATTAATAATGGTAAACGGCTGCCTTGACTCTTTCTCTAGTAGAACTTCTGGCTCTTGAAAAAGTTTTACACATCAAAATAAAGCTTATTACTCAGCAAAACTTAACACCTCACAAGCATTAGGTACTTTAAAAAATTTTTTAAAAATTAAGTTAGGGCCAAACTCTTGGAAACAGAGCCACCACTGATTACTTTGCTCCTGCTTCTCCATTAGCTGGGTAATGAGAGTCCCTGACATATGTTGTTTACACAGTTAGGGTCTCTCCTAGATTATTTCACAGGTTTGGAAACTATAGACATTATTTGAAGATGCCATCTTACTGGTCAGTATAATCTTTACTTTGTGTTTTTCTCTGTGTGTCTGCTAATGTTTATGCCGTCTCATGCCTGCCAGCCTTCCTGAGAAACCATACTGTGGGCCGCTTGACTAACCCTTGGGTAGACTCTCACTGCTGGACCCCTACACTGTCCCTTATCAGCTTGAAGAAGCCAGAACGGTCATCGTCCCTGTTCCCCAACGGCAGTTACAGGCCCCTTCCAGGGGAGAAATAAATAGGGAAAGGGGTAACATTAGGCAGGGAGAGATAAGGGACCTTCAGGGAGGCAGATTGCAGCTGCAAGTGGGAGGCTGAAGAAGCAGATGGGGGTCTCCCTTTATCAAATCCTTTATGTGTGCCCCCCATTAACAGGGGCATGGGGGGGAATCTAAATGAGACAGACAATCTAACCCTAAAATAACAGATGCCAACCCTTGGCTTTACCCTAACCACCTTTCACCACTGGGTCAGAGAACGATCACTCGTAAATCTGACCACAATGTTCACCCCTTTAAATCAGGAGATGCAATATGGAGAAAGAAGTGAAATGTCCAACCCCTAAAACCCCCCCCCGGAGGGGCCTGTCCACTGTCATTTTATCCACCCCTACTGCAGTAAAGGTGGCCAAAGTGGGTCCCTGGATTCACTAGAGCGGAGGGAAGCCAGCATCTCAAAGCTGGGAGTGCGTTCCTGATCCATGAACACCGTGCAAGCCGACCCTACGGAAGGAGCAATCTGCAAGCCCAGAGGCTCTGGGAGACCACAGCCCTGCTGGGATCACTGTGGAAGCTGACTGATCTACACACGGCAGAAGCCTGAGGAATCCACGGTCCCGTGAAACAAAGACTGCCTTTATTTTCTATATGTTTCCTTACTGTGATGCACTGTCACGCCTTGATTCTCACTATTATCGTGATTCTTCCTCTAGTCTTTGCCATAGGATTGGTCGAGGCCACCCTGGCCAGCTAGAAATGTGGTGAGTGGCCTCTGTTAACATTCACCTTCCTTTTGTGGATAAGATACTTTGTTGGTACCAACATAGGAAAACAATGCCCAGAAGAGACTAAAAAAATTAGATCCCCATAAGTAAAAAAAATAAAAATAAAAAAAATACCCCAGTTCCACTACTGGGGTTTGGCTCCTAAAAACCTCAGTCATTGGGAAGAACTGTCTTGCCCGATGGGGAAAAA